CAGAGGCTCTGCAGGAAGCCTCTTTCACTGGACATGTTGTAGCCCCATTTTAGGTATTCCAATCAGTTATAGGCAGAAGACGGACTTACAAGATTTCTATGGTGATGTTTCTGGCTATTCCTTTCTCTCCCCCTCCAGTGTCTATTTTATAATATAATGCACCGAGGCTGTAAACTTTTACAGAGGCAGGCAGCCTCATCTTTTTCCAAGAGTGGCTGGTAGGTTCGAACTGCTGACCTTTAAGTTAGCAGTCCAGCACAATCCACCACAAGGGTTCCTTCAGCTTTCAAAAAGAGTCTTACAAGAATTCACAGATGTTAGATGTTAACCAAGGGTAGTGGTGGCTCACTGCTAGAATTCTTGCTTTCCATGTCTGAGACTCAGATTTGATTCCCAGTCAGCAGACTTGTGTGCAGCCACTACCCTAACAACAACTTAATAATTTATGTCAAAGAAATTGAAAGTCACTTGCCTTGATCATGTTTGAGTGAGTTTAGAAATCTTTTCAAGGCCTTTGGTTTCAGTAGTTAAAAGTACTTGTGCACACATTTGTCTTATTGTTATCTAGAATCTATACTTTTAAATCTTACTTTAAGTATATATGTGTTTGTATGTTTATGTGTTTTCCCCTCTATCATTTTCAAAAAATCTTTGAGGAGTTCTGAGCTTGATTTATACTGCTGGACTGAGTTTGACTCAAAACAGTTTCTATAAATAGGATTGATGGTGTTATAGATGGTTTTATTCTTTTTTGTATGATAACCTGATTACATATCAGTAATCATCATCAAAACTTGTAATAGCCTTTTCATTTTTTCTTTTGGTGAGTATCTTATTTCCAAATTATCAATTTAAAATCATAGCAAAGGCATTAAAGTCCCAAGAGAATAACTATCTTGTCAGTGAACAAAGACAAGGATCGTAACTGACTCACTAAGGTCAGTCTGGTATTTTGTTTTCACTAACAGTTCCCTATCTTTGTCCTTGATCAGAGGGAATTTCCTTCATGGAAGTCATGCAACAATAATATAGTATCAGACTTGGAGATCAGGAGGCCTTGTAGGATCACTTTGAATAAATCGCTTAACCTCTTGCTCTTTTTTCTCTCTTCAGTGAAATGAAGGCTTGCAGATTACCAGAGATCATAAATGGAAGCCCACAGGCCCATTTCTTCTGGCAAACTGTTTTATAAGCCGTGTATTTGAAAATAATTTGAATTTGAATGTTTTCAGGGGAGAGGGTCCTCTGTAGGTCACCATCTGCTAGGTCATTGCTGTCCCTCATTTTTTACACATTTTTGTTATCTTCCTGGTGTGGTGCTGTTGGATAAGCACTGGACTGCTAACTGCAAGGTTGGTGGTTCAAACTCACCAGCTGCTCAAAAACTGTGTACAGAGTCACTATCCATCAGAACTGACTCAACAGCACTTCTTAACAACAACATGCCCATTAGGTATCATTGGACTATGTATAATATATTAATTGTGTTATTTATTTTCTTAAAGATTTGTAGAAGTTATGTCCAATATGTTATTTATTTTTCGTAAAGATTTGTAGAAGTTATGTCAAATATATTAATTCTGTCATTTATTTTTCTTAAAGATTTGTAGAAGATAAAATGTGGGTTACATTTTTGGAGGGAAGTTCTGCCTTGAGTGCTCTGAACCTAAATGGTAAAGAGGTAATGTAACATCTGTTGATCCTAAGCCATGCAGAAATAAATGGTGTATATATTCTTATAGACATGTAGTAAAATTATCCAAATATAGTTTTAATTCTGGCAGGTTAAGACTTTATGGCATGCCTGAATAATTAATAGGTTAAATTATTTTTTATTTATAAGAAGTTTCTAGTTAGTCTTACATTATTTTGATACTCCCAGAAATATTAACCACTAACAAAGACAAAGACGAAAACATATATGTGTCACTAAATTTGATTTCTACTATAACATTTCATTATGTAAAAATTTTACAATCTTAATTGAAAATATATATTTTTGTTCCTCTGTATAGTAAAAAAAAGATTTCTGTCAAATGAAGAAAATGCTTTATTTGTAAGAGAACAATGGAGGAAGATGCTCATTACTCCTGGGAACTTGTGTTACTATCTTGGATCATTTAAGTATAGCTAATGTAATTCCTGTAAGGAGCTCTGGTAGCGTAGTGGTTACGAATCGGGCTGCGAACCTTAGGGTCAGCGGTTCGAAACTACCAGCCGCTCCGCGGGAGAAAGATGAGGCTTTCTACTCC